GCGCGCACACCCGGCAAATCGCACTCTCGCCTGCATTTCGCGCACTCGACACGCACGATCTCCGCAGAGGGTTGCGCGCGCACCGGACAAATCGCACTCTCGCCTGCATTTCGCGCACTCGACACGCACGATCTCCGCAGAGGGTTGCGCGCACAGCCGGCAAATCGCACTCTCGCCTGCATTTCGCGCACTCCACACGCACGATCTCCGCAGAGGGTTGCACTTTCGGTTGACGCTGTTCGTCCCACCCTCCGCCTTTAAGAGAGAATTTACAAAGTGGGGAAATGTTTTTTCATTAGGACATCTCCCGTGCTAGTTTTCCATCTTTACCATACTCACACTTGCCCTTGCATAGTCATTGCATGCTTGCAAACTCACACTTGCATACTTTGACCCTGGCATACTTCACACTTGGATGCTTTCGCTCTTCCAGTGTGTGTGTGTGTGTCAGTGTGAGTGTCGAAGTGTAAGTGTGTCAGTGTGAGTGTCGAAGTGTTCTACTCCTTGACCGCGCATTCTTTTGAAACATACGTACTCATGATATGATTCGTTCTTTTCAGTCAGATTGGATGCATATTGCAAAAAAAAAGCCACGCGGCTCAAGACTGCTCCCGAACACCTTACTGATGGAGAGGGTGGTGAGGCCTCCAGCCTTTGACCTTGAGTATCTCAAGGAGTATGCTCGCCAGCGGTATCCAGAAGGGGTCATGCGGCGGGAAGGAACGCTGGATTGCCTTGAAATATTCGGGCAGAGTGGTGCACTGCCCCGAGGGTATGCTAGGCACAATTTGAGATGCGAGTCCTTTGATGTCCGTATCTTGGTTGGTGCGGACTGTTTGGTGTTGGTTGACAACCTGTTGGGCAGAACCTTACAAAACATCACGAGGCAGGTAACCTAAAATGGCCTTAGTAAAGGGAGTCTCTGCTGAAGAATCAAATGTGGTTAAGATCTGAGCTGGCTGCTTGTTTCATGGAAGAGCTCGCTTTTTGGAAACTGAGGTAAGGATCCGTCCCACAATGCGCATGAAATGACAGGATTGCTAATTTTAGCAGACATGATGATGGATGTCAAGGTTGGTGGAGAGGCACATGTATCACCTACCTGCGGGAGCTGGGTGTGGTTGTCACGGGGCTCAACACTTCGCAATGTGGAGTCTTGTTTTTAAAGCCACTAGAAGAGGGTTGGTAAGTTGCGGTGTTCATATAGAAACTGCTTCAGGGAATATGTGCAGAGTTGATGTCAGTACAAATTCACCCAGCAGGACCAGTCTCCATTCTTAGCTTAGTGCCTATGAGTCTGTGTGCAGTAGTAGGTGTGGCCGCCTGCCAAGGAGCTCCACGGCAATCCTGCTATCAAAAGTTGCGTAACCGGCAACGCTTGTGCAGAGATGCTCGGATCAGTGATCATTCCGTTCGCAGAGTTTCTTGGTCTACGGGTTCAAATAGAACAACCTGGAAGCTCCATTATTTGGAACTGGCCGAGACCCTTCCCTGAAGTGTTTGCAAATTTCAATTTGGCACCTTTTTCTACGGAGTTGATGCTCCCGGCAAGGTGAGTAGTTATGTTCCAGCCCCACCCTGCTCACTTCAGCTGAGGCATTAAGAGATGGATCGAGCAGAAGAAAGCGCAGAATGAGTTCTACGAGGTCTCGGTTCGATTAGGTGCATTTGGGGGTCTGTCGTGGAAAGCATTGAGCCTCAAAGGCACCAATCCAGCACTTGTGTGGTTGGGGCAAATCTATTCCACCATCTATCCCAAGATGAAGTCCCGACAATGCAAGAAGCTGAGCAAGCCTGCTGGGAAGCGGCTTGGACGCAAGGGCATTTGGATTGGCAGCATAAAACAATACACGACAATCAGTAACCACACATTTTTGGGCCTGGCAGGTTTCGTAGGCAAGCGTATCAATTAGATGATATACTAAACGTTACAAACCTGTTGATACGACAAATACATAATAAATGAAACAGACTATACGCGATTGCTAGCAGAAAAAGGCTGAGTGTCAATTTTAAAACATGAAAGCAGGGTAGGAAGTCAATGATCAATAGTCTAGTGTTTTGGGGAATGGCCGAACAACTGAAAGGTTTCGGTTCCCATGGACAACCGCCCAAGTGGTAGAGCAAACCCGTGCTTAGGGAAGCAAACCTTGGCAATAAGGTGGGAGACAGCGAACGAGTACACAACATACTCAGCTATATATTGTGATGGGTTTGGGGAGGCTATAGCCTTCAGTTCATTGATAGAGTCCCAGAAGGACGAGGACACGTTTGACATTGACTCGGAGGTTTCCCTCTTTGTCTCAGAGCTTGCAAAGCGAGTCCCAAGTGTAGAGGAAGCTATCAAATGCGCACAGGAGCATTCTTGTTTGTCTGTGGAACTCAATTCATTTTGCAAGGGCAGACTTTCAGAACACACTGCTGACCCGTTC